CCCCCCAGCTTCCCCGTTTCATGGATGTCGACTAACTTCACCATCCTTTTCTGCTGATCTGGTCCGTTTATAAGAATGTAAAAACCAGCTCAACCTTGAGCGATTAACTGCTTTGCGATTGCAAATCACTGGCTAATGCTTTGGAAAAGCGAGGGTTTTGTCTATCACTTCGCAAGGTTTTAACCGGTTGAGGAGGGGATACCCCCATTACACCCCGGTAAAAAGGTACAAATCTCCGGGAGCATTAGTACCCCCCCCCCCCTCCATACAAACCCCTCGGGGAATTAGTACCCCCCACTTGACCATTCTTGGGTACCTCTGGTATAAATCCCCTGGGGCATTTTTACCCTAAGGTGGTCGAGTGGGGGGTACTAATATCCCCGAGGGTGGGGTGGGGTTTTGGTACAAACACCTGCGACACCGAGCGAGCCGATGAGAAATTTGAGAAACTGTACTAAAGTACTATCTTTGTTCGTCTTTTAGATTCTGCTGACCGACGCGTTCATGATGCCGGTTGTGGTTAGCAGTCTCCCCGGGGAGGTCCTGTGGCGAGCTCTAACGCGATTCTGAGCCCGGGATGCCAAGGCTGGAGGACACCGGTTTCCCCCAAGGAAGGCGATGCCGAGGACAGCTATGTGAAGGGAGTGCTACGCGCTCCGCGCCCACGACATGAACGACGACAGAGGCGACAAAGTTACTCCCCACGACCAGAAACGTTGCAGGACCTGCTTCTTCTGTTGCAGCATGAACGTTGCATTCCAAAGCTGACTCGCAAGGGATCTCCGTTTGCATACTGGCGAGAGAGCTGTCAATGTGTACCCACGATTTGTCGAATTAAAAACTTTAGTGAAGAAATTCTGTCACATGCTACTTTCCTTTAATCAGGTTGAAGGATTCTCAGACACGTTGTCTAACTGACAGAGTGAGTGCTTCCACCGGCTTCCACATTCCTGCCACGGCGACCCCGATGACCCTGCGCTGCCTGCGAATGGTGGTGACAGGGTGGTCCTTAAGTACAGCCAAAACCGACTCCGGCCTTGACGCAGTGGTGTTGTTGACAGGTGCTGGGCCCAGGACGCCGGGGGGGTCTGGAGGTGCCGGGATGGAGCCCGCTCGCTACGGGCCGTAAAGGAATCGGAGATGCGCCCTCTGAGTCCGTCAGCCTAGCAGTTAGTGGCTGCTATTTGCCACCTAAGGAAGAAGCGAGCAGCGGGAGCTGTGACGGCGTCCATTGTGAAGAAGAGGCGAACGTACGGCGCCAAGCTGGTGACCCAAGCGTCACATCGGAAGCCGTCGGCGCAAACGAACCAAACGCCACATGGGACTCTGACCCCGGTGTCCCGTATGAGTCGGTCGAAGACGCGCACCAGGATAGTGCGCAGAGAGATCAGGAGATGCCCCTCTACAAGCACCGGAAAGAACTTCTACAGTGTATATATTCTGTGCCAACAATTTTGGTTCAATCGACAGCCAGCAAGGCATCTTCGTGTGCATACAGGCGAGAGGCAATTTAAGTGTGATGTCTGTGAGGCGCGGTTTATTCGGAAAGATCATGTAGTTACCATATGCGTACCCACACTGGTGGAAAACCATTTAATTGTGAAATCTGTAACGCCAATTTCACCTTAAAGCATCATTTAGTTGTGATTATGCGCACCCACACTGGCAAGAAGCCATTTAAATGAGATGTATGTAAGAGGCATTTTTTTCCATAAATTAGAATTTAGTTGTTCACATGCGTATTCACACTGGCCAGAAGCCATAAAAGTGCGCCAAAGGGAAGATACATTTTACACAAAGATCTGGCATTGTTAAACACCTTAAAACCTTTATCAGTAAAAATGTATGAAGCCTTTGCTCGTTGTTACTAGCCATTAAATTTTTAAATGATTTACGCTCCATAAGCAGTTGTTATCTCATGATTTTTTTCCGCGGTAATGCTACTTCTAGAACGTTTTGTCGAATGTTTGACGTAAAAATATGTGAGTTTTGTTTTCTTTTGAGCTCACACGATATGTTGAATTAAACACTTTTGTGGATAGTTATGTGTCGTTTGCCTTAATCTAGTTAAACGATTTTTTAGATCCGTTGTCTGCATGTTTCTGCCCCAATGTCCTTCTCTGATGACCCAGTACTGCACATGCATGCCGTTGAGGGTGGTCCTGCAGTGCGGCCACGACCAGCTCTAACGCGGTATTTTTTTTTGTCCACAGATGCTGAACCCGTAACGCCGAGAAGTTTGGGGGTGGCCGCGAGGGTGGCCGGCATCTTCCCACTCGTTACGGAGCCGTACGTAAAGGAAGAGGACCTTGACGCACAGGGTGAATTCCTTGGCCTGGTGGTCACTGGCTTCTTTTCGCCCCCTGGCCTGCAGAAGGACGAAGAGGACAGCGCTAGCAGCTTCAATGGTGACAAAGGGACGGATGAGATGCGCCATGAGGGTAACAAAAAGGACCCAGTGGAAGACGTCGGCCACAACGTCGCCAACGCCCAGTGCGACCCTGATCCACGTGTCGCGTGTAAGCCAGCCGAGGAGGGGGACCATGGCAGCGCGCAGGACGACCAGGAGATGTCTCTGCCGAAGAGGAAGCGCAACAAGGTGTACTCCTGCAGCGAGTGTGGTGTGAAATGTCATTCTAGTGCTGACCTACATACCCATTTACGCTTGCACCTTTCAAAATACTTCAAGTGTACATTCTGTACCGAGACGTTTTGTTCCAAGGCAGATCTTAATAGGCATATTCATCAGCATAGAAGACCATTCAAATGTGAGGTCTGTAATGCGCGATTTGTCCGCGAAAATAATTTAGTTTACCATATGCGTTCCCACACTGTCAAAAATCTGTTTACGTGTGACATCTGTAATGGTAGTTTTGTACATAAACATAATTTTGTTCATCACATGCGCACCCATACTGGTGAGAAGCCATTTGAATGTGATGTCTGTCAAGCGCGATTTGCGCGCAAAGATAAATTAGTTAACCACAAGCGCACCCACACTGGTGAGAAGCCATTTAAATGTGATGTGTGTAAGAGGCGTTTTGCCCGCAAAGATCATTTAGTTGTTCATATTCGTATCCACACTGACCAGAAGCAATAAAGTGCACCAAGTGCAAGATTCATTTTACACAACGATCTACCCTTGTCATCACATTAAAGCCCCCACAAGTAGAAGTGTATAATTCGTGTGCCCTTTGTGACTATAGCCATTTGTTATTTTATTTTTCAATAATTTACGCTCTGCTGAGGTGTTACTTAATAATTAAGCTCCGTGGAAACGTCACGTTTAAAACATGCTGTATAATGCCTGCGGTAGAAATATTTAAGTTTTTTTCATTATTTTATTTTTTTAGAGCTATCGATGTTTATATTGTCGGATGAAAAAACTTTTGTTGATAAATATGTGTCATTTGCTTTAATCTGGTTCAATGGTTTTTAAATTCGGTGTCTGTCTGTCTGCATTAGTTAGTGGTTCCACACAGAAATATGATCCTTCTCTTTACCAGTCCCTGTCTCTTGCACAACTGTCACCGCGTCCCTGTGACCCAGTGCACCACGAGCATGCCGTTGCCGGGTTGGTCCCTCTTGCAGTTATTTCCGGCTCTTTCGCGATGTTGTTTGGAAAGTGTTAGGCCCGGTTCGCCGAAGGCCTTAAAGGTGACAGGCATCCGCCCGCTCTGACTGTAAATGTTTACACACGATTTGTCGAATTAAAAACTTTTGCGAATAAATTGTGTCAGATGCCAATTTGCTTAAAATTTCACTCCTGAGAGCGAGATATCTGACTCTCTCTCAATTTGAGTCATAATTTGCAGGTCCTCACCCTATGAGAGTGATGTTCCTCACTGCCATTCGGCGAGGTCAGGGAAATCTTACTCCTTCAGAGTGAGAATTCGGTGCATATGACTCAAATAGGGTAATCCCTATAGTCATCGTTCTGATTGAGCGAGGCAAAATTGACTCACTCATTTCGAGAGAGGCACCTCACTGAAAGGTTTTCAGTGATATGTTAGTGGCTCAACACCCAAATATTCTTATGTTGTAGGCCCTGTCTTCTGACCTAATGTCCGGCTCCGATGACTCAGTGCTGCACATGACCATAGGGGTGGTCCCGCCGTTCGTCCACAACCAGCTCTAACGCTGTGTTTTTGTCGACAGATGCTGAGCCCACAACGCCGAGGAGTTCAATGGTGGCTGGCATCTTCCCGCTTGCTACGGAGCCATCCGTAAAGGAGGCGGACCTTGATGAAGTGGGCGAGTCCTTCGACCTGGTGGTTACTGGCTGCTTTTCGCCCTGTGGCCTGCAGGAGAAAGAGGACAGCGCGAGCTGCCTTAGTCGTGACGAAGAAACAGACAAGATGCGCCACGAAAGTGGCCTGCAGAGTAACTTCCGCGCGCACCTTGCAGAATACCTTAAGTGTGCATTTTGCTTTAAAGCGTTTCATTCTAAAAGAGACCTCGCAAGGCATCTTCGTGTGCATACTGGCGAGAGGCCTTTTAAGTGTGATAACTGTATGGCACGATTTGCTCGCAAAGATAAATTAGTCAACCACATGCGCACCCACACTGGTGAGAAGCCATTTGAATGTGATGTGTGTAAGAGACGTTTTGCTCGCAAAGATGATTTAGTTGTACATATTCGTATCCACACTGGTCAGAAGCAATAAAGTGCGCCAAGTGCAAGATGCATTTTACACTAAGATCCACCCTTGTCATCACATTAGAGCCCACACCAGTAGAAGTGTATAAAACGTGTGCCCTTTGTGACTATCCATTTTCCATTCCATTTTTCAATAAGTTACGCTCTGCTGAGGTTTCATTATTTTATAATAGAGCTCCGCGGAAACGTCTCCTCTAGAACATCCTGTTTAATGATTTTGGTAAAAATTGTAAAGATTTTTTTCCTATAGAACTATTGTTTACACACGATATATCGAATTAAAAAACTTTTGTTGATAAATTTGTGTTTTTAATCTGGTTGAGCGGCTTTTAGATTCGGTGTCTATCTGCATTAGTTAGTTGTTCCACACCCTCTGGAAACACAAGTGTGTACATGAATGCAGGAAGTCCTGTGTACTTGGCAAGTATACATGAGGGTACTTGGTCAAGTATGCAGGAGGTAGTGTGTACCCGGTCAAGTACTCACTAAAACCTCCATACATTTATGCAGGAGATTTAGTGTGTACTTGGTCAAGTACACACTTCCGTGAGTTCAAAGGTCACTTCGGACCATTTAAGTTTGGTGTGTGCCTGTGGCGATTTGCTCGCACAGATCACTTAGTTGACCATATGCGTATCCACACTGGCGAGAAGCCATGGCCTCTGCATTTACATTTTGCACGAAGATTTACCCTTGTAAATCACTTTCTAACCCATATCAGTAATGTATGAAACTGGTGCTCTTTGTGACAATCCATTTCATTTTGAAATGTCACGTTATCAAGCGTTTTACTATTTTATTGCTGAGATCCGGAGAACAATTGCTTCCTCTAGAACATTATTTTCTAATACGCGAAGTAAAAATATTACAGTTTTGTTTCCTTTTCGAACTGGTTACACACGATTCGTCGAATTAAAAACTTTTGAGAATAAATTGTGTCCGATGCCAATTTGCTTGATATCTGGTTGTACGATTTTCAGGTCCGGAGTAAGGGCTTCCACGCACATACATACCTATGACTCTCCCTCTGTTGCAGGCCCCGTCTTCTGTCCATTGTCCCGATGACCCAGTGCTGCACGCGCATGTTGGTAACGGGGTGGTCGATCGGGCTCTAACGCGGTGTTGTTGTTCACAGGTGCTGAGCCCAGGACGCCGAGTGGTTTGGAAGTGACCGGCTGCTGCCTGCTTGCTATGGGGCCGTCTGCCAAGAAGGAGGAGGTCGTTGATGCGCCATCCAAATCCCTCGGCCTGGCAGTTAGTGGCCGCTATGTCCTTCTTGACCTAGACAATGACAAAGCGAGCACCAGGATTTTTGACGGCGTCCATTGTGCCCAACAGACAAACCAACCGCCCCAAGCGAGTGACACAAACGTCACATCGGAAGTCGTCGGCCCATACGAAGCAAACGCCGAGTATGACTTTGATCCCGTTGTCGCGTATGAGTCGGACGAACAGGATTACCAGGACAGTGCGCACGGCGACCAGGAAATGTCCCCGCCAAAGAAGAGACGCAGTGAGGCATATTCGTGCAGCGAGTGTGGTGTGATGTATGATACTAGTGCTGACCTGCTGAGACACCTCCACGAGCACCGGGAAGAACCCCTCCAGTGTGCATTTTGTGCCAAAAAATGTCGTAACACGTATGTTCTTGCAAGGCATCTCCGTGTGCATACAGGCGAGAGGCCATTTAAGTGTGGTGTCTGTAACTGGAGTTTTGCACAGAAAGCTCATTTAGTTACGCACATGAGTACCCACACTGGCGACAGGCCATTTAAGTGTGATGTATGTAAGGCACGGTTTGCTCGAAATGATCATTTAGTAAGACACATGCGCACCCACAACCGGGAAGCCATTTGAGTTTGATGTCTGTAAGGGCGTTTTAGAGATAGTACTTTAGCTTAAAACATTTAAATGAACAATTGTCAGAAGCCAAGTGCGACCAATGAATGATAAATTTTGCACTAAGATTTACCCTTGCTTATCATCCTTGGCCATACGCACACTAGTACTGTAAGAATGCATGAAACATTTTGTGACGCTGCCCCACCTTAACATCCTGCCTGAAACTGTTTAGTTCAAATTTATATTATTTTTGGGTTTGTAAATATTTTCTGGAAGTCTGATTAAAAAGTTCTTCATTTTTTCAGCGTTGCGTTCGCTTGACCTCCGATGATTGTTTCTAGTACGATTTTGGTCCCACCAGGTCTAACCTATATAACGCAGTTTTGTTATTGACAGGTGCTGAACCTGAGATGCCAACCGATCACCGTGTCACGTGTGAGCAGTCCAGAAAGGCGCTCAAGGACAGTGCGCAGGACGACCAAGAGATGTCGCCGCGGAAGAGGAAGCCCAGTAAGGCGTACTCATGCGGCGAGTGTGGTGTGAAATGCGTTTCTAGCGCTGACCTGCTGAGACACCTCCACGAGCACCCGGAAGAAGACCTCAATTGTACACTCTGTGCCAAAACATTTCGTTTCAAAGCAGACCTCGTAAGGCATATCCTTGTGCATGCTGGCGAGAGACCATTTAATTGTGATGTCTGTAAGACGCGATTTGCTCGCAAAGATAATATGGTTCAGCATATGCGTACCCACACTGGTAAGAAGCCATATACATGTCATGTCTGTAAGAGGCGTTTCGGAGGGAAAGGTAAATTAGTTAAACACATGCGTACTCACACTGGTGAGTAACCATTTAATTGTGATGTATGTAACGGTAGTTTTGCACGGAATTATCATTTAGTTCACATGCCTACCCACACTGCCTAGAAGCCATTTAAATGTGCTGTTCGTAAGGAGCGGTTTGTGAAGAAAGGCAATTTATAGTTGATGTACACATACGTATCCAGACCAGTCAGATTCTATATAAATGCGGGAAATGGAGAATGCATTTTGCTCAAAGATGTTACTCCTTGTTCCTTGCTTATCACCTTAAAACCTACATCAAGAAAAATATATAAAACCAGTTCCCTTTGTGACCAGCCATTTCATTTTTTAAAGAGTCACGTTATGATGGAGCTCCGCGGCAACGTCATCTCCAGAATATTCTGTTCCTTTGTGATGCGTCTTCTGAGCATTATATAAAGATATTTAGTTTTTGTTTTCTTTAAACCTGTAAAAGTTTACACACGATTTTTTGAATTACAAACTTTTGCGAATAAATTTGTGTCATTTGCTTTAATGTGGTTGTACGGTTTTCAGATTTGGTGTCTAACTGCCAGAGTGTTTTCGCACAAATAATATGATCCTTTCTGTGTTGAAGGCCCTGGCTCCTCGTCTACCGTTCCTTCCTGACCCAGTGCGGATCGTGCATGGCTGCGTGACGGAGTGGTCCCGTTAGGTAGTCACGACTGGCAATCAAAATTCTTGAAAGTGTATGCCTGTAAACTTTTCTGCTGCTTCAGATCACGAGGACCCACCTTTTTCTCAGCTTTGCGTCCGGTTTTGCGTTTTGACGGCCTATGCGCCTGTTTCTCTTCTGGAAAAGCGAAAGGAGATGCCAGGCATGTAATGTGCCCCGTCGGTCGTTTGGTTTTTGTTGCGCTGAGTGAACTAAACTCTCGGCCCGAGTTTGGACGACATATCCCGTGCTCGCCCATAACTCAGCGCCGTTGTGTCCGTTACCCCAAACACCGGGGGACGCAAAAATTATACATGGAAATGCGGCAGATATCGGCAGCACATTTATCTGATTTGTGAAATATTTGGGACGGCCCGTGATTAGGTCTGGCCCGTGCGGTGCGCGCCGTGCTGTCCTTCTTGTGGCCGTGCGGACAGCGGTGGCGCCACCTACCGTCCGGCCGTGGTGATTTGCGACGGGCCACGCGGCTGCACGGCTGGACAATGCATTGCAGCGAATGAATAGCGAGGCGGGCGCGACATCAAACCAGCAGAAACCTTTCCACCAAAACAGTGGAAGCGCCAAACTGTCCGTCGCGCTGCACCCCCCCCCCCCCCCCGTGCCTCGGAACTGCGCGCCCGCGGCCCGTCACATATTTCAACACGGTCGCAACTTGGCTTTATTTATAGTCTTCAATATGGCGCATTGATTCGGGCAAGTTTTTGGCATTCGCATAGAGCTGCCTGCCAAATTACCGCCAAGTGAGCTCGGAGGGGTGGGGGTGCAACTGCGCGGACTTTGATGGAGAGGCGAGGCGGGGGTGGTTTGCAGGTCCTGAGCAATTATGACATATGGACGACTCACCTATCCCACTTTTACACATTGTCTTTAACTAAAGTATCTTGCTGGTTATAGCAACATTAACTCCCGTAATTTTTCGCGACTCTGGGAGGGGGTGGGGGGTACAAGGGATCATGACATCTGCTGCACTACGCCGACTCTGTGAGCAGAACAGAATGTATTTCATGTCGATTCGTAAGCCGGACTGGAATTATCTATGGGCATGCGTCTGGCGAGGGCGAGGGTCCGAGGGGGGAGCGGGCGGGAGAAGGGGGGCTGCGGCTGGTTGACGGCTACATTTTCACCCGGCGGCGCTAACAATACGTCATTATTATGAGAGACAGCGGCCGAAATGAAATGCATCGCTGCACTCGTGGAGCGAGAGGGAGAGAGAGAGGGTGGGAGGGACGCGCCGGGGCGTTGGTGTCACAGTCATTTTCTGGATTTGGCGAGATGCATTGTTCGACGCGATGCGCTGCGTGCCGAGTCCACCGGATGGCTGTGTCATGTGGAATTACGAGCCCCCGTCCGTCTGGCTGTTGCAGTGTGGCTGCTGCTGCTGCTAATATTTTAGATGAGCTGCCATTACGCCCCGACCAGTCCTACCATACGCCGAAAAAGTGAGGCATGAAGAAAAGTAAAGGGCCCGTTTGTTAATCACGCCCCCCTCATCTCTCTCTCTCTCTCTCTCTCTCTCTCTCTCTCTCTCTCTCTCTCTCTCTCGCTGAAGCGCGCGCAGCACAGCCGCCCGACCCGTGCCTTTTTGTTAATTAAAACTATCAATCATGGTTTAGTGAGACAGTGCGTTGTTTCCTGATACGATGAGTG